GTCCGTCACGGTCTCTTGCCATCTGGCCTTGAATTTCATCTCAGACCCTCCCTCTGAAAATGGCTTGCGGACGGAGGGGTGTCATCGTGTTACGGGCTGTTCCCGTCACAGAGGACAGCTGGCTAACTCTAATCAGATGGTAGCAGGCATGTGTGTACACATAAGCGTGTGTATGTGTGTGTGTGTGTGTGAATGGCTTTATCTGGCAGGGGAAAAGTTGGCCGCACCCCTCGGTCCTGCTCTCAGGGAAACACCTGCATTGAGCCTGCAGATCGTATCAGTCTAAGCTGACTGACTCCCAGAGAGGGGATTGTTCAGACCACCATCTGCTTTTGGAGGCTGACCTTTACTTATAACCATATGGCATTTTGTCGTTCCTCACCGTTTATGCTTGTGCAAAAAATGAGCAGGTAGATGATAAGTATGTTAGCGGGACTGGACAATGTAGTGACAGTCAAGTCAGAATACCTTGATTTATCATAATCCAACTTCTGCACGTATCGTGTAGCTGTGTATTTTGATTAAAGTTGTTCAGAAAGGTGGAGTGAAGTCTTTTCGGCACACTAATGTAAGGATGAAAAGCATCTCAATTCAGCTCTTTCTAAAATTAGCAGTTGAGTAAAGTGCGGTTGAAAGAAGTTCTCTAAATTTGTAATGATGTTTGTGGAACATTTTATGTTATTGGAAAAGTATTATAATGCATAGTTTTTATGCATAGTTTTTTCAGTTACACAAACATTTCATCGTAATTTAATAAATATACATTTTACCATAATCATTCAATATTAAATAGTTATTATAATAAATTTTATATGTTTATAACATATAATATTATTAATTTAGTTTATTTGTATTATTATTAAATTAAATTAGGTTTTATATGATAACAACAAATAACTATTATATATTTTGTATTAATATAATTATTGTTGTTGTTGATGTTGTTATTATTTTTATAATTATAATGTCTCACAATTCCACCTGAACTTTCTACAATAATAATAATAATTGTGATTTTAATATTATTAAAAATTATAGCTATCGTTGTTCTGTTATGTTCTTCATTGTTTTATTCTGTTGCTAAAAATATAATGTAAACCAATACATACATTGTTGATCTCTGTGATGCCCATGGAAATCAGATATGAATATTGCAGTCTCAGTTTGGGCACTGAGTTTAGACTCGTCATTCCTTAGTCATGGACCTCATGCAGAAAGTCTTTGTGTTGTTAGTTCAGGCCATTATGATTCTAATAGCAGCCCGAGACCTCAGAGTCATCCATCAGGCCTGGCAGGGCAGCAGAGCCATTGTCCCATAGATTTGGGCTTTCTGTCTTGCCCGTCACCATCACACCCTGAGGCCAACACCCCGATACTTGTGGGTCATTTGAAATGGTCAAAGCTTATCAAAAATTGTTGAGGTGAACCAAATTGTTTTATCCAATTTCATCACTTTTCTGAGAGATATTTTAGTTGACAAGATGATTGCCGTATGATGAACTTGAGTGCAAGAGTGAGTGAGCCACGCTTCTCAGCTTCTGACGTCACCCTTACTTTTCAATGACCCATGCAGTCTAAACTCTCTTCAGACAGACTCAGCATGGAGAATAGAGACTTGAGTTAGTGTTATCTGAAATCAAAGCAAAGAAGGGTTGGCCAGAGAGCCATGAGCAGAACTTTAGCAATTTTACTGTATTATCACACCTTAAAGGGACAGTTCACATTTTGTCATCAATTACTCATCTTCATGTCATTCCAAACCAACTTTTCTTTTCCTACAGGACAAAAGAAACATTTTGTAGACTGCCTTCAATGTTTTAACGTGAAAAAAAGAACACAAAAACATTGAAGTAATATATCAATACTATACTCACTAAATAAAAACATGCACTATATTCCAAGTTTTCTGAAGCCATATGATAGCTTTGTGCAAGAAGCATACTGAAATGTAAGCATACAGGATTGTTTTGACAGAAATCTCATTGTTGGGTGAATTGTCCCTGTGGGACATAGTACCAGTTGCTTTAGAAACTGAAAAATCCTGAGAAAAGCACTCCGCTTTGGATATCACAGCATAAATCACATGCTTTCATTTAGTTAGTTGGAAGAGACAGACAGCAGAGAAAGCTGTCAATACACAATGACTGACGAGCTCCATTTTTGGCGCCATCTTTCCCCTCTAAAGACACGCTGAGGTTAACCCTGCGTCAGTGTGAGGTCCATTTATCAGCTCGCTTGTAATTGCAAACAGTGGGTGTTCCTCAGAGCTGCTTTACTTTGTGCTGATCAAGCTAATATTGTAATTTTATGACCTTTAACCCACTACATCCTCAGTGGATTTTGTGGCCTGCCCTCCACCAGCATAACATCAACACTTTTGTAATGCCACTATAACAGAATGCCATCGACCCCCCCTTGCAGGGTTTTTTTTTTCTGCTAATTTCAGTGTATCCGTTAAACCACATCTTGTACTGTTCTTGGTCAGAGATTCAACTCCTGATTCCACTTTTAATGATTCCTCAGTGGATTTTGTGGCCTGCCCTCCACCAGCATAACATCAACACTTTTGTAATGCCACTATAACAGAATGCCATCGACCCCCCCTTGCAGGGTTTTTTTTTCTGCTAATTTCAGTGTATCCGTTAAACCACATCTTGTACTGTTCTTGGTCAGAGATTCAACTCCTGATTCCACTTTTAATGATTCTGGCACGATTATGACAAAAATCATAATTGTTGATTATTCCCTTGAAACTGTAATTGCGATTATTAATTTTGATTATCAAAAATTACATTGAATGATGTTTTGAATAGCTTTATACCATTGTTTGACTGGCAACCACATGCTATATTATTATAAAAAATAAACAAGCTGAATACACTCTTCATGAAAAACTTGTATTGCTTTTCTATAGCATTAAGCCTCAAATGTGAACTATACATCAGGCATTTAGTTAGTTGGAAGAGACAGACAGCAGAGAAAGCTGTCAATACACAATGACTGACGAGCTCCATTTTTGGCGCCATCTTTCCCCTCTAAAGACACGCTGAGGTTAACCCTGCGTCAGTGTGAGGTCCATTTATCAGCTCGCTTGTAATTGCAAACAGTGGGTGTTCCTCAGAGCTGCTTTACTTTGTGCTGATCAAGCTAATATTGTAATTTTATGACCTTTAACCCACTACATCCTCAGTGGATTTTGTGGCCTGCCCTCCACCAGCATAACATCAACACTTTTGTAATGCCACTATAACAGAATGCCATCGACCCCCCCTTGCAGGGTTTTTTTTTTCTGCTAATTTCAGTGTATCCGTTAAACCACATCTTGTACTGTTCTTGGTCAGAGATTCAACTCCTGATTCCACTTTTAATGATTCCGTGTTGTCGAGCGAGTCATCACCAAACCTGAACACATTTCTAAGAGAACAACATGGCTTAGTCATCAGAAGATTCAGATGATTTAGATGTCCTGTTGTTGGTGGATTGTCAGCCATTTATATTATAATATGTTATTTATTATATATAATCCATAATAATTTAATACAAATTATATCAATTATATAATATATGTAATATATCCAATATATAGATATATCTATATATACGTTTCTTCTTTAAATAAAAAAAGTTAAAATATGCATGGTATTATAAACATTAAAATGCATGGAAGTATAAATATCAAAAATATAAATATACCGAACATGATGACTAAACTTTTCTTTCAGTATTATTTTATATTATCTCATGCAATCACTATACTGTTTGTAAAGGAGTGTTGAGTAATAATCATTCAGTAATTCTGAGATGATAGTGTTGTTTATCTTATCTCTTGTTGAGAGCGAGCTAGTCTTTTTGATCAGTTTATGCTTTGATTTGTCTACCAAACTCCACGGGGGAGACTTTCAAAACTCAGCACTCGTCAACAGGCTCTCTCACTCTCTCTTTCTCTGTCCCTGCAAGTCCCCTTTCTCTCTGGAGGTTGTTTTCCAGGTTTGCCAAGTCCAGCTGAGCATGTTTTCAAGTGACTGAAAAGAATGAATTATGCAGCAGTAAGCATGCTTACAGCTGGCCGTTTGGAGTGTCTTTGATCTGAGAGCAGAGTGTGCATGAATGCCCGCATTGTGAGCGTACAGAGTGTGTTAGTGTGTGTGTATGTGAGTGTTTGTGTTTGGAAGAATAGTGAGGCCCAGATCTGGGTTAGAAGAGATTACACTGCAGGCACATTGGGTAAAGGCTAGCTAGACTAAAATACCCTGACGCTGCTTGTTGGCTGGCGGTCAGATATTGTCCTTAAAGGACTAGTTCACACAAAAATGAAATCATCTACTCACCTTCATGATGTTCAAAATTGTATGATGTTCACTATAAGCTCAGTAGTTCATATTCACATAATACTTTCATAGCTCCATCTTTCAAGTCTTCTTAAATTCAGTGTCATAGTATTATATGAGGAATAGACACTAAAGTTGTTATGCACGGATAATATTTGCCTATGCCATATCATTCAAATTGCATTTTTTATTTTAATTTAGTGTAATTAATCATTTTTTTTAAATCAACAAAAAAAGTAATTTAATTTACTGTACTGTACTGTAATCAACAATTTAATTTAATTTAAATGAATTACTGTGAGTTGTAGGACAGCAACTGGCTAATGTTAAATGATAACGAAATATAACAAACAATATATTGACTTCTGAGCCATTTTTAGTCTATTCAATGATTTACTCGTCTGCCACAATATTGTAATATTGTATTTGAATGATCTTCATTTGATGTAAGTCATCAATTATTTTTTTTTAAAAATGAGATAATTAGACCTAGTTTTTGTTGTACACTAGTTCAGCTAATTCTTCATGTGTACTGTGTATTTAAGATATATTTATAGTCGTCACTGGTGTATTGGTGTAACCTTAAATACTTTAGTTTGAAGCCACTGAAATAATTTGTTTAAAAAATGTAAATAAAGGTTATATAATGCATTTCTTTATTTTCTCTTACAGGTCGTAACGAATTAATCGCCAGATACATCAAACTCAGAACGGGAAAGACACGGACGAGAAAGCAGGTTAGTGGAGCTGCTTTAAGTTCTGAGCGTGACATGAAATAAATAATAGAGGCTATTTCCAGTAAATTCTCATTGTGATGAGCCAGACTTTGTTTATGGCTTTATCCAAACGTTGTCTCGCTGGCTCACTGCCTTCCTTAGTTACCAAAGCGTTCTTCACTGAGTGGACACCTGTTGATTTGTGTTCTCAATTCAGTGCAAATCTTTACAATTTTACCGTAAAGTCAGTTTGACTTAAAAACTGAATTTTTAACTGATTAAATAGCCGATCACTTTCTTTATTTCTTGTTCCTGAACAAATGACGTGAAAGGCTGTGTTGGATGTTCTGTTTGTAATTAAAGCGCATGTTTTTGTGTCTAATGGCAGGGGGCCTTTCATCTCCATGGTTACAAAATGCTCCTTTTGTGTGTGTGTGTGTGTGTGTGTGTGGCCAGGTTTCCAGTCATATCCAGGTTCTTGCCCGGAGGAAATCCAGAGAATTTCATTCCAAGTTAAAGGTACATGCCAGTCTAGGTCTGTGGGTGTATGTGTGTAGTTTCTCAGGCCATATCTGTACTGAACAGTGTGTGTGCATGTGTGTGTACGAGTGCCCTGCTGTTTGGCTGTCTGTAACCTAGATTTCCTGCTTGTGACTGGACTGCTTAGTATGCAGTCAACTGGCTAACTTCTTTTCTTCACCATGTTTGTCCGTTTCCTTCCTGTTTCGCACAAAAGTGTGTTTGTTTTGGAAAGGCGTTGAAATATTTAATGTGTGATACACGGGTTGACTTGAGTAAAGTTGTTCATGGACAATCACACGATTTAAAATACAGTGTGAAGGTCAAAGGCAGACATGACCCCTTTAGACATTATTCAGTATGTGAGTATCTATCCAGTTTCAAAATGTTCAGACTTGAGACCTTCAGACTCGATTTTATAAAACAGGGGTGCATAAAACAGTAAAAAATACAGTAAAAGAGTTGTATTGTTAAATATTATTATAATTTGAAATACTTCCTTTCTATTTAAATACATTTTAAAATGATTTTTATTCCTGTGATGCAAAGCTGAATTTTCAGCATAATTTCTCCAGTCTTCAGTGTCACATGATCCTTCAGAAATCATTCTAATATGCTGATTTGGTGATCAAGAAACATTTCTTATTCTTATTAATGTTGTGCTGCTGCAAAATAATTGTGCTGCTTAATATTTTGTGGAAGCCATGAAACATTTTTGTCAGGATTTTTCTATTCTAGAAAGTTCAAAAGAACAGCATTTATTTGAAATGGAAATATTTTGTAACATTACAAAGACATAAATGTCTTTACTGTCACTTTTAAACTTAAACATATTTCAAATGCTTTTGCTAAATAAAAGTATTAATTTATTTTAAAAAATCTTTCTGACCCCATATACAGTGGGGAAAAAAAAGTATTTAGTCAGCCACCAATTGTGCAAGTTCTCCCACTTAAAAATATGAGAGAGGCCTCTAATTTTCATCATAGGTATACCTCAACTATGAGAGACAAAATGAGAAAAAAAATCCAGAAAATCCCATTATAGGATTTTTAAAGAATTTATTTGCAAATTATGGTGGAAAATAAGTATTTGGTCAATAACAAAATTTCATCTCAATACTTTGTTATATACTCTTTGTTGGCAATGACAGAGGTCAAACGTTTTCTGTAAGTCTTCACAAGGTTTTCACACACTGTTGCTGGTATTTTGGCCCATTCCTCCATGCAGATATCCTCTAGAGCAGTAATGTTTTGGGGCTGTCGCTGGGCAACACGGATTTTCAACTCCCTCCAAAGATTTTCTATGGGGTTGAGATCGGGAGACGGGCTAGGCCACTCCAGGACCTTGAAATGCTTCTTACGAAGCCACTCCTTCATTGCCCGGGCGGTGTGTTTGGGATCATTGTCATGCTGAAAGACCCAGCCACGTTTCATCTTCAATGCCCTTGCTGATGGAAGGAGGTTTTCACTCAAAATCTCACGATACATGGCCCCATTAATTCTTTCGTTTACACGGATCAGTCGGCCTGGTCCCTTTGCAGAAAAACAGCCCCAAAGCATGATGTTTCCACCCCCATGCTTCACAGTAGGTATGGTGTTCTTTGGATGCAACTCAGCATTCTTTCTCCTCCAAACACAACAAGTTGAGTTTTTACCAAAAAGTTATATTTTGGTTTCATCTGACCATATGACATTCTCCCAATCCTCTTCTGGATCATCCAAATGCTCTCTAGCAAACTTCAGACAGGCCTGGACATGTACTGGCTTAAGCAGGGGGACACATCTGGCACTGCAGGATTTGAGTCCCTGGCAGCGCAGTGTGTTACTGATGGTAGCATTTGTTACTTTGGTCCCAGCTCTCTGCAGGTCATTCACTAGGTCCCCCCGTGTGGTTCTGGGATTTTTGCTCACAGTTCTTGTGATCATTTTGACCCCACGGGGTGAGATCTTGCATGGAGCCCCAAATCGAGGGAGATTATCAGTGGTCTTGTATGTCTTCCATTTTCTAATAAGTGCTCCCACAGTTGATTTCTTCACACTTCACACCAAGCTGCTTAGCTATTGCAGATTCAGTCTTCCCAGCCTGGTGCAGGTCTACAATTTTGTTTCTGGTGTCTTTTGACAGCTCTTTGGTCTTGGCCATGGTGGAGTTTGGAGTGTGACTGTTTGAGGTTTTGGACAGGTGTCTTTTATACTGATAACAAGTTCAAACAGATACCATTAATACAGGTAACGTGTGGAGGACAGAGGAGCCTCTTAAATAAGAAGTTACAGGTCTGTGAGAGCCAGAAATCTTGCTTGTTTGTAGGTGACCAAATACTTATTTTACCGAGGAATTTACCAATTAATTCTTTAACAATCCTACAATGTGATTTTCTGGATTTTTTTTCTCATTTTGTCTCTCATAGTTGAGGTATACCTATGATGAAAATTACAGGCCTCTCTCATCTTTTTAAGTGGGAGAACTTGCACAATTGGTGGCTGACTAAATACTTTTTTGCCCCACTGTATACATATATTTTAAAAAGCAATCTTTTAATATTGTATTAAAATAACAATAGTTCTAAATTGTCATTGTACTACACAACATAATGCATAGTGGTGTGTTGATGCTGATGTTGTCATTGGCTGACCTGAGGATGTCAAAGGATCATGATTTTGAGCAGCTGTGGCATCTCGTGGTTAAATAGCGAATGACAGTCCACTGGCAAAACCCCTGATACATTTTTTTTTCTTTCTTTCTTCTTTTTTTATTGTGGTGCTTTTGCCAAGGGAGAAAGAGCGGGAATAGGATTGGTTACTCATTTAATTTGGCAGTTTGTATGATGATACAAAAGGCTCTTCTTGAAGCATATGCGCTCCAGTACAGACAGTTTGTCTGACTGCTGCTTTCATGCTCTGTAGCTGACTGCTTAACAGAGCTCACATATAATGCGTATTTATACACATAATTTTGTCAACAAACATGAAAGTAAATGAGATATTAATCACCACATAACAAATAACTAAGAGTGATGATGATAAAAGCAAACAACAGCATTGTGCATAAAATCAAATCTAACCACATGCTTTACGTGCTGTGCATTCTAGTTACGGCAACATTTGAGGGATATTGGTGGCCTAAAGTGTTTGTCGATTGAAAGCAATTATTGCTAAATGCTAAATACAAGCTAAATGGGAAAACTATTTTTCCATTTAGCTTGTATAGTGAAGCATGGTAGAGCCGTTTAAATGGGCATTATTTATTTTTCACAGCGTCACGTCTTAAGAAGACTAATTCATTTAAAGAAATGATGAGACCCTTTGCCTTTGAGCCAGGATTTGATTTTATTTAATCTAATAAAATAATAGGTTTTATAGCAGTAACAGTGCAGGAGCT